GTGGTGTTCTACTGGATTGGTTACTTACTTGAAAGTTGACGGAGTGTCAACTACTACGGGATCAAGCTTCTGGTAATGTAATGGGAATTTGGCTCCTGAGAGCCATCCGTATCCTTATACTTTGGGGTGATTATTGTTTATTGGATTATTGTTTCTTTTGAAAAACTTCTACACTCGCTCATTTTAAGATTGTTACTTGACGTGTTATTGCTCACATTTATGAACTCTTCATGCTCGTTACTTTGCTATATCAAAAACTTGTACTTATAAATAATGGTCAATTTGCTATTTGGAACCTCACTGGGCTTTTAGCTCATTCCACTCCATTTGTTTTCCTTTCAGGGGTACGAGCGAGGTGTGAGTTATGTAAAGTCTAGCATAGACTAGTTGTTTGATTTTTGACTTGTACTCGCGCTATTCCTCAGATGGAACATGTTGTACTTGGATTGTATACGTTTTGAACTAGTTTGGTGTATTGAGATTTTGTACCTCGATTTCTATCAATGTAAATTATAAGCTTGAATTGGGAATGTTATTTATGGTTCATGGATGTGTGTACGTGACTCGATTAAGATAGTGAGTGAGTCCTGGCGAGAGCTGGGCAGGCGGTCCGCCGAACCCTTTGGTACGCCTTAGGGGGAGGTGGGGTCGTCACAGTGGACCTATGATGGGATTATGTGCAACAAATTAAGAGACCTTTAGTGGGCTATTTGAGCTTTTGGGTCATTAAATTTTTTGTTAAGCAAAATATTTTGGACTCCCTTGTATTTTAAATATTAGGTGTTTTGGGTTTGGGAACACTTTTCTAAGCCATTGTTGTACTCTCTTCTTCATAGTGAAATTTTGCTTCTCCTCTTCTCGTAGATGTAGGTCAATTTGATAACTGCATAAAATTCTGCATTCCTATTTCATTTATTTTGCTTTGTTATTTGTCTTTTGGAATTGTCAAAAATCTTTTTGTCAATTTTCGGGAGTCAGACCTAACAAACTGGTATTAGAGTTTCTTTGGAGGTTTTGAATTTTTTGACAACAATGACAATAACAATTGGAGTTTCTTTGGAGGTTTTGAATTTTTTGGCAACAATGATAATAACAAAGACTATTGTCGAGAAATTCATAGAAATGTCAATTTCAAAATGTTGCAACTCAAGATAGAGACTATTTTGGTACAAGACGAAATTGATTTAGCAATACAGGGAATTGAGAAAAAGTCAGAGAATATGACAGATGCAAATTTTGCTGAGATAGATAAGAAGATTCGGTCCAGTATTATTTTAAATCTCTCTGACAAGATAGTGCAGGAAGTAGCCACTGAAATTTTGACAAAGGTCATGTGGAACAAGTTTAAAACTTTGTATATGAAAAAGACAATTAATAATTAACTTTATTTAAAGCAAAGCTTGTATATGTTTCATATGACTAAAGATACATCTATACTCTCACATATCAATAAATTTAATTCCATTATTATGAATTTGAAGAATATATATTCAAAAATTGATGATGGGGATCAGACTCTATTACTTTTATGTTCCCTTCCCCAATCCTTTAAATATTTTCACAATACTATGATTTATGAAAAAAATAATTTCGTATTGAAAATTAAATTTGCATTAAAATTTAAGGAGCAAATAGATAGGGATATTATTGAAAAATTAATGGAGGTAAGACGGAAGGTTTGGTTGCTAAGGGCAGAGTCGAAAAAGAAAATTTGACAGTAATAGGTCTAAATCTACCTCTAAATCCAAACATAGAAATTTGGAGTGCAATTATTGTCACAAAAGAGGGCACATTAAGACAAATTATTTAAATTAAAAAATAGATTAAAGTAAAAGAAAAAATTTGATGAGAAAAATATTAAAACTACCGAAACTCACGTTGCAGCTGATGAGAGTGATGGAAATACTTTTTTTGTGACTGATGACAGGATAAAGTCTAAAAATGAATGGATTTTAGATTCGAGGTACTCTTATCATATGTATCCCAATAGGAATTTATTTTTCACTTATGAACTTTATAATAGTGAAATTATTTTGATGAGCAATAATATCATTTGTGATGTTGGTATGGGTATCATCCGAATTAAAATGCATGTTGGTATTGTGAGGATGCTCATTAATGTTAGACATGTTCTTGATTTGAAAAAGAATCTAATCTCTTTGGACATCCTGGAAGCTCTTGGGTGCAAATACAGTTGAAAATGACATTATGAAGATTTCTAAAGGTACTCTTGTTATTATTAAAACTTGTAGGTCTGATAATTTATATGTTTTGTAGAGATCTACTGTCGCAGGTTCGGTTGTAGTCTTCTCATCACTTTTATCTGATTTTGACATTACCAAATTATGGCATATGCGTTTGAAACATATGAGCGAGAAAGGTTTAGACATTCTAAGCAAAAGAGAACTTCTTTGTGGTCAAAGGACTTCTTTAGGCATACACCTTCTTTAGGCCATTGAAATTCTGTGAACACTGTATTTTTTAGAAGTAGAAAAGAATTAGTTTCAGTTCACCAACAATTCATAAGATGAAAGATACTCTTGATTATATTCATTCAGATTTATAGGGTCCATCTCATGTTCATTCTAAGGGTGGTACTAGGTATATATTAACTTAGAAAATTTGCCAAATTAATCCCTAACATTTTTCAAAAAAAATTTTTTGGTCCCCAACATTTAAAATCAGCCATAATTGTCCCTAACATTTAAATTATGATCCATTTTGGTCATAATGCTCGTATTTGCTCATTTTTTTGGCCAAAAACAGCACGCTTCTCCACATTGGCATATTTTCAAGGGCAAAACCGGAAACACACTTCATTTTCGATTAAAAAAAACCATCTTTCCTTCATATTTTCCCACGTGATGGAGGACGAATATAGGTTTCCACCAGTTGAAAAGTCCACAAGCTTCCTTCGTATTTCGGTTGAAAAAAGCTTCCGGAGCTGTGTAATGGAGGAAGAATAGCAAGAAAATGTGAAGAAACTGACAAATTGGTTAGTAAAATAGATCCGAACAACAAGTGATGCCTTTGTGGAAAAGAACCTATCATTGTGTCTTCTTAGAAACCTACAAATTCGGGGAGAAGATTCTATGGTTGTCCAAATTATGGAGTAAGTTTTCTAAACATTTCAGGTCATTTGGGTTTGGGGTGTGGGGTTAAAATTTGGTCTTGATATGTGATGTTCTTCGTGCATTTTAGATAACTCATGCTTGTGGCTACTTCAAGTGGTATGACCCGCCAATGTGTAGTAGATCTGTGACAATAATATTTGGTCTATTAAGAACAATCAACCGGCTAGAAACTGATCAAGAATGGAGAATCCGAAGAGAGAAATTGCTTTGGACCAGTTTGGTTGCCTCTTGGATGTGCACTTTGTTGCTGTTAATGAGCTAGAGCTGAACTAAAATTGGAAGATAGTTGTTGGTGGGTCTAATATGTTGTTTTAGTTGCGATTTATGTCATTATGGAACACTGTGAATCCGAGAGTATGTCGTAGTATCCAAAATAAAAAAGGCTTTTTGTACCTGCTATACTTTTGTTAATGGTTATGTAATAGGAACTATAATCTTTTGTTAATTATTGTATAATAGGAAAGGCTCATGTTTGTACCATTTTACAATTATGAATGCAAAGCTGCCTTTTGGTCAATTGATTGTCAGAAAGGGAAATTTGCCAATGTAAAAGAAAGCTGATGAATAGCCATATCTCTTAACATTGAATTTGAAGACAAAAAACTGCAGAATTTTGTAACAAATGTTTGAAGTAGCCAAGATGCTCTTTACAGCAGTGCCAAAAACTAACAGCTAACACAAGAACCATAGCAATGCAAAAGTCCTAACTAAAGTCCTAATACATGAACTATAATATCCCAGAAGCAAAATTCAACATAAAAGTTATAGCTAAAGCCACCAAAAGATACTTAAACAAGCCACCAGCATTTAGTAACACTTGAAGGATACACCAACTTCAATTTTCCTTTTACTTTCCGCTGATCTTTGAGGATTCATATGCCTGCCCTCGAGAAAACTCTGCAACAGTGGAAGTGCACCTGTCTTTGGTGTGACCAAATTAGTGGTACATAGAGCACTTGTACTTCCCAATAGTCTCCACCATGACAATTTTAACAAAGGATTGTTAGACAACGTAAAGGTAAAATATGAAAGTTGACAAGTGAAAGATGTTTATGATACTTACCGGAATACTTGCAGCAGTAGAATAGTGTGATGTAGATTGTTGACTTTGCAATGGTGCATCTGCCATGACATCCTCAGACATTTGAGTATTTGACTTGGGAACTGGAGATGTAGGTCTCTGCTTATTTTGCTTTTTACCTGATGCTGGTTCATCTAGCTCCCTTCATCTAGCTTTTCATGGTCTACCAGGAAGCTTTATATTCTCAGGAGGTAGCACGGGCGGCATGCCAGAATTTTTCCACATTTGTTTAGCATTCATTGGGCTTATCATGGGTTCATATGCCCTCATGTAAGTTTCTTTGGAGTAGAAATCATGCACAAACTTCTCGGGTTCCTTTCCAGTGTCACAAATTGCAACAATGGCATGCGTACAAGGAATGCCATTTAGATCCCACTTTCTACAACTACAACATCTACTAATAAGGTCTACAGTATACCTATCACCACACATACACCGAATTTCAAAATTTCAGTCCTTGGAATGACTGGGAATGCTGTCATTTGCAGCAAACTTATTTTTCTCCAACTTTTTCAGAATTTTAGGACATATCTCCCCAGTGTATTTCTTTATCCATTCCCTCTTTTTTTCCATCCTAACCATTAAGTAAAACCTAATGGTCTCCAGCATGTCAAGAATTGGTCTCTGCCTAGCATCAAGGATTGTGGAGTTAAACCTTTTACATAGATTATTCAATAAATATCACATTTTACATTTGTTCTAAAATGTGATCTTGTCGACTCCTTTGGATAAGTGGTTTACGAACCAATTGTAAGCACTTTCATCAAACTCTTTTAGTGACTCTATCAACCTAGCAAATTTGTTCTTATAAGAAGCTCATGCTGCAACTCATATCCTTTCCTTGAGAGATAGGCCTGGATGTTGTTTGTTGAAATTATTGTACATGTGCCGCACACACATGCGATGCTCAGTACCTCTTGAATAACTTGAACTAGCCCCTGTATAAATGAAATAAAAAACAAACCTATATTACTGTCAGTACTTATTATCATAACAACAAGACTGATAAAGTTAGTTATATATTACCTTTTGCTTGTTGGTTATAAATGTCCAAATGCTTTCATCAATAATTTCAAGATCTCTCTTTAACTCTTCTACAAACCATTTCCAAGAGTTCTTATTTTCAGTTTCAACTACAGCATACACTATCAGAAATAGTTGATCATTTGGATCAACACCAACGGCTGTGAGAAGAACTTCCTTATGACACCCTCTTAAGTGACATCCATCAAGACTTACAACATATCTACAACCCTTCAGAAATCCTCTTTTACAACCATCTAGATATACATAGAATCTCTGAAACTCATCATCACCCTCATTATTCTCAGTTGTAGTCATGAACACATTAGAGTCAGGATTTGCCTTTTGAAGTTCTTCACAGTAGCTCCAAAGTTTGCTATACTGGGACACGAAATCACCATGTATCATCTGTTTAGCTTTTGCCTTTACCTTATACCCCACGTTAGGTGTGATACTAACTCCCAAGTCCTTGTGGACCTTTATCATAAAATCACCTACATTGAAATCTGGGTTGAGTCTAATGTCCTCCAAGTACTTGTTGGCCAAATATGTCACACTTGCTAGACCATGATAGGTTGTCCTACCACAAGTGTGAGTCAGCAGCATGCTTTTGATTTGGAATGTCACTTTATCACTCCTAACTGAGCAATATATGTTCCACATGCATCTCTTACCATTGCATATGGCTTTGCATTCGCTTGAATCATTTTTCTTAAACTTGATTTTCCTTCCGTACTTCACTCCATGTGATTTTGCAGCATTGATAAAGTCAGTTTTACACCTGAATAAAACCCAAGTTTAAACTTTGGGGTCATCTATCTCTGTTGCAGGATTGAATACCCTAAATTTCTTCTCGTTCACATCCTTACTCCCTCTTTCATCTCTAGAACTCTCATTATTGTGCAACCCATCATGTGATGAATTATTTGACTCCTCCATGCTGCACTCATTATCTTCTTCATTAACAGTCGTTTCCTGTACCTTTTCTTTACCTTATTTGCTGTCTGAACTGTTTAGCAACATTAGCCTAATCTGCAGGTATTTCACTAATAGATTTTATTAACTCTTCTTCATCACTTATAGCATATTCACTATCATACAGGCTCTCGGGATCACTTGAAACTACATCATCTATGATCTGCTCCCTATTTTTTTTTTTAACAACTTTTTACCTTCAGCCTTTCTATTGGATGTTTTTCTTGACTTAATTGGTGCTTTTCTTTCTTGTCCACCGTTGCGATGTCTTTCATTTACATTAGCATCAATTTCTGTAGCTCCATTAGTTGTATGTTTAACTACATCAGTTTCTGCGGCTTCCGTAGTCTTATATTCACCAACATCAGTTTCATGTCCGGTAGCATCAGTTTCTGTAACTCCACTAGTCTCATGTTAACCATGCTTACTTTTGTTTTCGATTTAAGATGCACTTTGGCATGATCCACTCCTACCACTAATTCAGCAGCAATATCTTGATGGCCAACATCCTTTTTCCTTTGCTGCATTTTAAATCTTTTTGCAGGTGAGGCTTTCTTCTTCGCAATTTGTTTCATTCTCTTACTAGTACGTGAAGGAGTTCCTTCAGCCGTGTTAGTGTCTTGAAAACCACCATCAATAGCGAAATTAGGTGTGACCACATGTACAGAATCTTCTTAAACATTCTCTGGTGTGGCCACATGTATAGAATCTTCTTGAACATTCTCTGATGTGGCCACATGTACAGAATCTTCTTGATTATTTCTATTACTATCATTCCTTCTTCCTTCTTCAACAGCAGCAAAATGAGGCAGATTATATGTTCTTTGATGAATGAAGAACACATCAACTAACCCATATATCATCTCTAATTTAGCCAATTCAGCAACATCATTCTTCTGCAATATATACACTAATCTATCTGCATATTTCTACCAGGAATCAGGTAGTAGTGCCCACTGTAAAAGGCTCAAATTCAAGTTTATTAGCTACTTCGTCCAACTTACACAGAGACCATTTTTTCGGATCACAACCATTAACTATGTCAATCGAACCCCCTATATAGTCTCTATTTTCTGTATCTCTAAGTTCACCTCCAAAGTGTATGCGAATAGAAAGATGCATCTCATTGGCCCCTGTCAGCCATTAAAGTGACAATTACTTTGGGACCACGACAGAAAGGTGGAGCCTTTCGTAATGAAAATTGTGGACCACAGCAAAAAAAAAATAATGAATAATCTTCAGTTAATTACAGTAAAACACAGTCCTAAGCAAGATTCGGCCACAGTTATAAATTTATTAAACGTATTGGTAAAAAAAAACTTACCATAATCCATTGTGAAGTTCCATTTTCTCGATTCCTTCTGCATCTTTTTGAAGATTTTCTTCACGATTTTCTGGCCAAACCTTCGATCATTCCTCAATCATATGCCTACAGCTTTCTCGTTGTCCTCATCATCACCATAATTCCTCTGGTTATGTTGTTAATTAGGGTGTGACGGCCCCACCTCCCCCTAGGGCGTACCCGAGGGTTCGGCCAGCCCCCTGCCCAACTCTCGCCGGGACTCAGTCGTTCACTACGGTCCTCAAATAAATACAATACAAATCTCAAGTATACATCAAATGGTCCACAAATACACATCCGTCTCCAATAATTACATGTCACAAATGCAGCGGAAACTAATCCCAAATATACATAAAATAATTCCAAATCCAAAATTGTACAAAGTTTAGGCCATCCATTCACGTGAATAAGCACAACAAGTCCTTCTTTCGCCACGAGCCCTGTGGAGGGGAATAAAATAGTTTTTGGGGTGAGTTAAAACTCAGCGAGTAACCAGAAAATCATTAATCAAATCGGTTTCACAATAGTTCATTTCAATGATGTCATATAGCAATGATGTCATAAATCAAATGATAAATCCGGAAACAACTACAACATTTGCAAAACAGTAAATATGGATTATCAATAATTCAAGAAACATTTACAATGGAAAGCGATAGTAACATTCATGAAAGGATACATTCATTCTCCTGACATTTCCTCGCTCATTTGGTCATTCATCTCATTTCATTCACCCCGTCCCTGGCTTTTGGCCAGGCTCCACCAACCTACATAGGTAATACTCGAGTATACCAAACGTTCACCCAATTTCCTAATCGCCTGACCGAGTCCGCTTCTGACTCAAGACGACCGGTAACAAGGGGCAATGGCCAGTTCAGCCCAAAAGGCTTACATTCATGCGCAAGTAACATTTCAATCGAAAATTTCATATTTATCGAGGTCGAGTGCGATAAAGTACACACTCGCCTCGAAAACTCGTTTTGGAAATCATTATAAGCGCTTAACACATTATCAACCAAAATACAAGTCATGAAGTCAAGAAATATAGCAAACAAGGCACACTCACATGCCAGCACGCATGATATGCAAGAAAACATTTCAAAAGTAACTTTGGAAACAGTTCAAAAGTAAATAATGTAAGAAACGGTTCATAAATAACTTTAGAAGTAGTTTGAGGTCACTCACCTCCACGGCTCAGAACCCATCCGTCATAAACCATTATCTTGTCCGAATCCAAGCCCTAAAACCCAAAACAGATTTGATGTCCTTTAGTGATTTTGGCACCATTGGCACTACGATTATCGGATGGGGTGTAAGATACACCGTTTCGAAGCTAAAAGACAGGGCTACAACATTACAGAAGGTCACTCAACCCAGTTTTTAGTGCAAATAGGTCAAAAATGCAAGATACTCTATCGAAAACGTAAAACAGATTCACCAAAACGCATTCTAGCGGAAACATCATAACTCAGGCTCTACAAGTCCAAATCCAGAAATTCCAAAGGCATATGGTAGCTAAGACATCAAGCTACATTTCATCAGAAGACCTCAAAGGCCAAATCGTGCATTTTCATGGTCGAAAATGGAAGACTACACGAAAACATAAATCTGGGCGCTAAACAGGTTTCGAAAACAGTCAAGGGTATTTCGGTCATTTCACATGCTACAGTGGTCGGATCAAGCTGAAAATTTACAGGCAACTATTTTATAGCCTTAGCTACAACTCTCATGTTTTGGCTAAAATCTAATTCAGTAAGGATCACGGTGAAAAGTCACAGTCAAACTGGATAAAAAGGCAACCCTGTTCGCAGAACCCTTTCCTGGACCAGTCTGGGAATTTCCGTCTTATCTCAGGCTACCAAGCTGTGATTGGGCTGAAAATTTACAGGAGACTAGAAAACATGATTCTCAACAACTTTCATGTTTTGTGCTAAGGCCAATTCGGCCTCTAACCTGGTCAAACAGAAACGGGCAGAATTGAGGAAATGAAACCCTAACTGGAAATTTTTGCATTCAAGTCAGAAATTTTCCACTAAAACATCTCTTTAGCTATCACAAGTCATTAATTTAACATAATCAAGAACAAAGGAAGGATGGCTAGACATGATACCTTCAAATATCAACAAAGGTGATGACTTAGGAATTTTTCTTCCAAAACAACTCCACTAGAAGCTTTAATCCTCCTTAATAAGTAACTTTGATGGAGTAATCTTCACTTTTAATGGTTAGAAACCAAGATTGGGCAAGAAATTGAAGAACAAATGAAGTTTCTCTCTTGCTCACTCTCTCTCTTGTGTTCAGCCAACAAGCTAAAAAAAAAATGGAGAAGAATGAAGCTCCAAGATGGCTTTAAGATGACTTAGTCTTCACTTGGGTCAAAGGTCACTATTCCTCCACCAATCAAATTTAAGCTTAGGAAGACCTTAGAAGCTTCAAGGTTACTAATATCTTACTTTGCTAAGTCTCACACTATGGCCCCAATAACTTTTAATCTTTGCAATTAACTTCATGGTTCACCAACTAGTTGAAAAAAAACAATCGCATTTACCGCACTAGCGGGTCCCACATTCATAATACACTTCAAAATTAACGTGGACTAACTTGGATCAAGAAAATGATTTGAAAACTATATTTCCTTATAAAAATGTATAGAAAATTAATATATTGAAGAAAACAAACTTATAGACAAGAAAACAAAATAATGTCGAGAAAATATATAAAAATTTTCGATTTCTCAAACTCATACTTTTCGGGGCATCACATAGGGGATGCAAGGAACTAAGGTTTCTTGAGACTATAAATAGGACAAAGATAGGTGAAAAGGGGGTGGTGGTCCTGTGTACTTTTACTTTCAACCAAAAATGAAGTGGGTTTTCAGTTTTGCCCTTGAAAATCCACATGAGAGAGACGTGCTATTTTTTGTCGAAAAAATGAGCAAATATGAGTATTAGGACAAAAATTGATCATAATTTAAATGTAGGGGATTAAAAAATTTTTTTATTTTGAAAAATGTTAGGGGCCAATTTGGCAAATTTTCCTATTAACTTTCATTGATGATTATTCAAGAAAAGTTTGACTTTATTTCTTAAACATAAGAATGATGTTTACCTCAATTTCAAATAATGGAGAGTTTTGATTGAGAATAGACAAGTAGATAGATCAAATAGTTTAAAGCAAATAATAGCATGGAATTCTGTGAAGGTGAATTTGATGAATTTTACAATAATGAAGGAATTATATGAAATTGCATTGTCAAGATGATGTCTCAATGCAATGCAGTTCCCCCTGCCCTCCCCTGCCGTAAAATCCAAAAAAAAAACCAAAATTTTTTGCCCTTTTTCTTCTTCTTCTTCTTCTTCATCTCCTTCTTCTTTTTTTTTCTTTTTAATACAAAATCTATTGATATATAGTAAAAATCATCTCTATCTATCCATCATCTTCATTGTTCGTTCGAATCCTCCAATGATTTTATATTTTTGTCCCAATTTCATCATGCCCTCCGCCTTTTCTTTAATTTCCCAAAAATTACAGTCATAGTAATTTAGGAGGGGAAAATTAAATAAGTTTTATTTTTGAGAAAAGGAAAAAATGGCGCAGATTCAGGTGCAGAATGCGGGAGTGACAGCTGGGCCGAATGGAGTGGCGGCTCCGGCTGGTGGTGCTGCTGTGGCGGCAGCAGCGGCTCCCATTGATAGAGGGAATCAGTTTTTGTGAACCTCGCTTTACGTGGGTGACCTGGACATTAACGTGACGGACTCCCAATTGTACGATCTGTTCAGCCAGGTGGGACAAGTGGTTTCGGTTAGGGTCTGTAGGGACCTCAGCACTCGCCGCTCACTCTGTTATGGCTACGTCAACTATAGCAATCCTCAGGATGCTACAAGGGCAATGGATGTGTTAAACTTCACTCCTATCAATGGCAAGTCGATCAGGATCATGTACTCTCATCGAGACCCTAGCATCCGTAAAAGTGGGACTGCAAATATCTTTATCAAGAATCTAGACAAGGCAATTGACAACAAAGCTTTGCATGATACGTTCTCAACCTTTGGCAACATTCTTTCATGCAAGATAGCTACTGACGGCAATGGCCAATCTAAGGGTTACGGTTTTGTTCAATTTGACCATGAAGAATCTGCTCAGACTGCCATTGATAAGTTGAATGGAATGCTTATTAACGATAAGCAAGTGTATGTTGGTCAGTTCCTTCGTAAGCAGGAGAGAGAGTCCGCC